GCGGAGCAGGGCACCGCCGAGGGGGCAGTTTATGCCCGGGACCCAGTATAAACGTAACGTGGCAAAGTGAGTCACAAATAAGGGTTAAAAAGGACGGTTCGTATCTCAAACTTCGAAACAGCACAGTTATGCTTCTAAACATGTAACTAAAAATCAGAAGAACTGTTAAAACAAATACAGGGCAGGAATTTCAAGCCAAGCTTAATTATAAAACCTCACCCTACAAGCTTGGAAGTAAGAAGAGGAGAGCTTGGAGGCACTGTGCTACAGCTTGCAGCGTATGCAGCGCACAGCAAGCCTGCCCACACACAGTGGGCAACTCACTGAGTGCCCGACAGCCTGGCCTTCCTCCTCCTCCTCCTCTTCCAGTGCCACCTGCCACTGCTCCTGAGCGGCCCCATCCTCTGACTTGTGGCATCCTGCCGGACCCTTATTTTCCATTTCTGCAGGAGTCCCTTGCTCACATACAACCCTCCAAGTACCCCAATGTAGCTGCAGACTCGAGCACGGCACACAAGGATCTCGAACACCCTACAAACACCATGCTGCCTCCAGTTGGCCTTGCCGTTACCTGACTTTTTGGATTTAAAAATCAAAATAAAGAAGAGTTGAGTGCACAGGTTATTGTGCAAGTTAGTGAAAAGCCAACAATTGAAGCAAACTGTTCAGATTTCCTGAATCTCAACTCTTATCGACGAGGATAGTTGCACATTTCTACACAAGTGTTACTCCCATGTATCTCAGGGTATCTCAGTCCTAGTCTGGAGGAGCCATTAGCACTCGCAGCTGCTGACACGAGGAAGCAGATGGTAGCAGGGAACATTACTTTAAGCTGTGCTTGAGCTCTGGTGTCATGGGCCAACTGCACTGATTATTTTCCAGGCTGCATATTTAGTTTATCTGTGCAATACTGAAATGATCCAGACTATGCTGGATCAGATAGAGTCTTTAATAACGTGACTAAAAATCAGTGTAGCATATAAATCAAGATCTAGATTTTCCACAGGTCCTTGCTTCTCTTGCCTCTCCTTTAAAACTACACACAGGGTTTTGAAAGCTTTAGATTTTGCAAATAGTTTCACTACATCTTAACTTCTGGGTGAAGAAAATACATTTGCATGGGATTGATGTAGCAAGGCCGGTTGCAGGTCAAATTGCAATTGAATAGGACAACCATATGTTAGCATATGAAAATAGATACTTAACTGCAGGGAATAAAACATCAAATCCAAAAAATTATTCTGCACTGAAATAAAAGATTTATTAAGGTAAGGTGTTCTAGTGCCACAATGAGGGCACTAGTGCCACCACCATTATTTTGGTTGGCAGTCACGAAAAAAGACAGCTATATCTAACAATTTCTATAACAGCTAGAGAACGGCAGTGAGTTAGTACAGGAGAAGAAAACAAAACAAAACATACTTGACCCAGTCTTTCTTCTACTGAATGACATTGTTCAGACCCTTAGTGAATACCTGATTATTGACAGACAAGCTCAGTGCTTCACATTCAAGGTACTGCTTAAGCCTTTTTATGGATGATGATTAAGAACTCCCTTGATCCACCTGTCTTGGTGAGAGGTATTTTCAGAAAGGCGAGACACACAAAACCTTCTAGTCTGGATAGTGGCAAAAAGTCACCCTTTTTATTGACTAGATTTGTCACTAGTTATACTTTTCTACGGTCGAAAATGCCCCTGTTGTTATCCTGGTCTTTCCAATACCATCCATCTTTTGCTGTTATAAGCACTCAATTCACTCATAAAGATAAATATATTTAGGAGGTAGGTATTTACAACTCAGATTTGAAAGTGTGTCTTGAGGATAATACATTTGCAGCCAAAATGTGGGACGCAATAGGATATTTGGTATACTTGCTTTGTAATATCCTCAGTCAGTTGATATGGGGGAAAGTATCAGGATTAGCCTGAAGGAAGAGTTAATATTCAGTGCTAAGAATTATTGCTCTATAAGCAAAAGGCAGGGAAAAACAAACAATCCCTTTAATATTAAAAGAGTATGTCTTTTGTGGAAAATTTTAATATTTACATGATTGAAATCTGAATCTAGTTTACTTATCCCCCTAAATCAATTTACATGATAAAGCTTCTAAAAACTGTTTCCTTTAACTAGTATAGTTGCCAAGGGAAAACTGCAAAGAAGATGGCCAGAACAATCCGCAGCACGAAGTAGGCTGGCTAATTCATTTAATCTTATTTTTTGTCCCTACTTGGTATGCCAGGTCAGAAAAGCATGTAAACACTAGCTTTAGTTTAGCGTAAGCTTAGAACACATTCCCATCAAAAGAATTTATATTCATAAGATCTTTGATGAATTGGAGCTTGGATCTCGAATGGAAGAGAACTTCGGGTTCAGCCCTCCATGGGACTGAAGCAGCTTCCAACAGTTCCAGCTAACACTGCCCTGAAAGGAGGCCAGCACAGCCACTTTTTCAACCGATATTTAGTGAACACTTGATTATCCAAATCCTCTGTCAGCTCTAATATTATAGTTTTCTAGTTTCTTGGAAGACTGGCTTCTATTAATACCTCCCACACTCAGAGCAAAGGATATTTGGCCGAGTGGTATCTTCATGAAACCATCTGACTGGGGAGAGGACAGTGATTCCCAACACAGTGAGCCTTTCTTGGGCCACAATATTTGTTGCTTTCCAGCAAGACAAGGAGATCAATGTAAAAATGCTGCTTCCTTCTGCTAATCTGACCATATTCCTATCACCAGATCCCACAGCTACAACATCATCATTCCATGAAATACAAGCAACTTCTCTCATACTGGCAGAATCTTTTTCAAAGTAGAAAAAACAATATACTATACTGAGTTCAAATTCAACAGAAGAGCCCACACTCCAGGAGTGCTCCATAGCCAAGGAAGTTCTTACTAGCTTCTACCAGAACATACACGTGCATATTTGTGTGTTTACACATAATTACAAATACGCCTATATTTTTGACTCTTAGAAGCTATGGGATATGTTCAGTACAGGGTCATTAAAAACAACAACAACAACAAAAAACAACAACAAAAAACCCTACCCTGTATCCAAACACTGATTATTTAATGCTGGAAAGGCACATGGATGTTGTGCTTCCATTTGGTTACCTTCTGAGAGTACTGCATAGACACACTGTGAGGACAAGGCAGCTTCTGAGTAACCTAGAAAATGTTCCATAAAGATTGCAAGGACAGAAGCAAGTATTAAAATGAATGAATGCAGTCTGCAACTCGGTTTACTAAAACTGCTGTTTCAGAGTTTCAACACACTTTAATCATGAAACCGATTATACCAGTGAATGACACACATGGTCAGTGTTGTGTTAAATATTTGATTCTTTCCAAATCATGCTCACATGCAATTAACTACATTCCTGTCATAATCACGCCCTGCTTCTGCTCCTTCTCCTGAATCAGAATCATCTCTCTGCTACATCAGAGCAAGCTCTCTTTCCTCCCTGCAACAGGAAAGAAATACAAATCCACTTGTGAATGCAATTTTATGCTGCTCATAGTGAAATGTTATATACAAAAATACTTTTGGGTGTGGAAAGTTCTCAAACCACAGATCACTGACCACTTGCAGTCCAGCAAGAACTTGCTGGCTATCCACAGAGAGACGATTCTTCCTTTTATAGCTGTTGCTACAGCTGGCTCCCAGGCATTTCCATTAAAAGACAAAGCAAAAGACCTATAAACCAGCTGAAACTAAAGAATAGCTGGTCCTACTGCCTCAACTAAGAGGCCATCAGAAAGAGAAAAGGAAACTGAAGTCAGAAACCCCCAAATATATAAAAAATTCAGGGAAGCAAAGGGAAAGGACGAAGCGAGCAGGTGATGCAGGAACTGTCCTAGACATCTTCTCCATGGGCAAAAACCATCACATAGCCTAAAAGGAAAGAAGGCAGTCAATAGAAATTCATAGGCAAATGACTTTTTGTGGGAAGTGATCATCAGTGAGAGATGGTTAACAGAAAGAAAAAATACAACTGAATTACTTTTTTGTTGTTGCTGTTTTTCTCCACCAAAAAGAAAAAAATATTTATTGCATTACAAAAACAAAGGTTAGGCCCTGGTTGCAGGACATTCTTCCTGATGGCAGCGCCTGCTCGAGCAGCTCCTACTCCGTGGTCCCCTTGTGCTAGGGGCTAGAGCTGTTTACACATTATACATACTAGACAGTTCCTAATAATCATGTCTTTGCATTGAACCTTGTTCTGATATTACTGCCCTCTCTCTTTTCTTCTTCTCTCTTTTTTTTTTTTTTTTTAAGCGACCTCAAGGATGCTACACAAACACACACAATTGTTATTTGGAAAAGAAAACTGGACACGGCGATCTTTCTGCTCACCCTACCAGAGATAAAAGGGTTTGTGATCACATACAAGAAAAGCATACAAGCACGTGCAAGAGAAAACCCTGTGATGGATGGAATATTAGAGGTTCACGTCTGCAAAAGAAAACAAATGCTGTTTCTATTAACTTTCTCTATGAGTATCTCATTAACTATTATTGTTTTGGCTTCCTTATAGCCACATTTAATACTCGCTTTCCCTTCCTGGTAGATGCCCTCAATTTGATAACTAACATGCTGCACAGCACAGTCCTTGAGGTTGAAACTATTTAAAAACTATTAAAAAAAATTCACACTGAGGTGAGACAATTGAGTTACCGAATGCACAGCTTATATAAACACAAACAAGCTTTGTATTGCGCTTTAGTGACTATGGTGGCACAGAGTACTTTGCTACAATTACCATATGAAAATCATCTACTAATACAATATACTTACTAATATAATTCCTTTACACTGCATGCACCTGAGATTGTCCTTTCTAGTTAATCACATGGTTAGTCAGTCACACTGTGCTTAACTTTTAGTGCACTCTATTAAATGTCCTTTAAATCACCAAAGACCTTACTACCATGTCATGTGTCAGCCAGGGAGAATGGCTGTTGCAATAAAAAATTACATTTAAATTTCAAACCACTAAATAATCAAAGTAAGTTTTGGTGAGAAGGGACAGATCTCAGCATCCCTGTCCAAGAAAGGAAAATTACATTACACAAAGTGTTTCTGACCTGCAGCCTATAACTTTTGCAATCTTTCTCCTTGTAAAGAAAGGGCAAAACAGCCCACATTCGCTCTGGGCTCTGTGTTGAAAGATGTGACAATACAGTAGCACCTGAGTAAAGAGCCAGATATACAAGTTCATCATAATCTGTCTTCGTTGACACTGGGAATTAAATACAGGCCTGCAAGTAATCTGGTAACCAGCTTCACTGCAAAATGCCAGAGGAAATGCAGCAGAGCTCCATACATAAAACTAAATTAATGATTCATAAGTTTGCATAATTAACCTAATGGAAGTAAAAAACAAACAAACAAACAAAGTAGTTAAGGACACGCATCCAGCCTTCTCCTGACCTCTCATTTCACATGTGATTGCAATTAGATAAGCACGCACGGTTTCACGCACCATTCTGCCCAATAAGATATGGGATATCTTTTTTTTTTTTTTTTTTAAATAACCTTAAAGCAGATGTAGGTAGCTTATCTATTTCATTCAAAAACTTCAAGTGCTCAAAGAGTTTCACATGTTAAGAGTCCCAAGCAATGCTGCCTGCAAAGCCATGGCCACAGCACTGGTGAAATACACCATCCACACCACCATCCCATGGGGAAGCAAGAGCATATTTTATTTCATATCCCCTGAACCTCTGATCCAGAAGGACTGTCAGAGTGTAAGTACTAACAACGTGTCTCAAAGTCCTGATCTAAAGCTTGCCCTTCACTAAGCCTGCAGAAATCTATCTCTGATTTTCTCTCTGCTCTTTAGGAGTGGGGACAGCAGATCTTAGCAGATCACTTCAGTCTCAATCACAAATTCTACGAAACGCACAGAAACTTTTCTTCAGACCATAAGCACTTTACAAGGTTTTCTGGTTCTTCTCCAGCCTCACATATCTCTTCTGCTACCAAACAGTACATTTCATTATTTTTTACTGTGCAGATACTCAGGTGTTCATTCGCACCAAATCCTCTCTTGACTGTACCCTTTACAAGCTTTGCAGGAAGAAAAGCCTCCCAAAATAAATCTTGAATTGCATTCTCAGTATGTGATTTTCTGAGGCTCGTAACTCAGTCAAATCAAAGGCAAAACTCTAAGACACTTCACAGTCAGGGCTATTTCAACACCAAATTTCAGTATACAGCCTCAGCCAGTAATGCTGCTGAGCTGTTCAAAATAAGGCAGCGAGAAGTCTTATGGAGGAAGGAAAATAGTTTTCCAGTCTCCTCATACTCACACATCGATGAAATGTTTTTGCTCAAACTTTCCAAAAAATTCACCTTTGAGCAGAGTCCAAGGGCTTCACTTAAACAATTTTAAAACTTTCTGAGTCTGGAAGACTGAAAACAAGAAGCCAGAAATATTGCATATTGTAAATACAGTGATCAAAATAACAGCATTCTAAAAGAGTAGAACAAATTTCCAGCCCTATAAAATTCATACCAAAATCTTCATTTACTCAAGTGTTGCAAGTTATGTAAGGAAGGAGGAAAAGGAAGAGATCCAAGTGCCTGAGGTTGAATAACATGGGCAGCGGCTTCACGCCGCTCCTCCCTGGCCATGGTGAGAAGAGCTGGCCCTGGCACACAGCTGAGCTCCAGGACAAATCTGGTCAGCCAACAGTTCAGGCATAGGAATTATACATGAATTGTACACGAGCTATGGGAGTTTAAGTATCATAAATTCTGAATTTTCTGTTGCTGCTCTCTGAAAATGCCACAAATCAAGTCCAACAAATAGGAGCAAAAATGTTACCAAATTGTGATAGAGATAGGCTATTTTGCTTGCATCAGCTAAATTAAAAAAAAGAGGGAACCTTTCTTGATTTATGGATCAAACTGGTCTCTCACGCAAGTGTCACTCAGAAGATAACATTCTCTTGGATCTTGGTTCTTTTTTCACATCTTACTAAGGTTTAAAAATTCAAAGAGTCAAGCCACAAACAAGTAGAGGATGAATTTTATAAATACTTAATTGCTCTCTCATTGCCATAAATGGTCTGATTCTCCATAGGAAGCCTCTTATTTTCAATTCATGTATGAGTTTGTTAGTTACCACTAGTGGCTACTTGGTACTCAATGTCCTCCCCATTCCCCAATTACATGCCACCCATTTCATGCTCTTTTCTAATAGACTTCAGCTTCCAGAACCAGAAATTTAACTCTTTCATTAAATGATCTCTCAGAAATTCCCACTTACAATCATCACTTTTTTTTCCCCTTGCCTTCTGCTTCTGTGGTATCCTTTAATCCAAGCACACCCCAGAGGACACTGGACTTAATTATTATCTGTTAACGTCTATATTTAGGATGCTGGGAGTACTTCCTGCTCTGGCTGGGTCATCCTATTTCTCTGAACAGAGCTTTGCCAGTTAGCTCTGCACTTGTATCTAACCAGTTCAAAGCACAAGGACTTGGACTCAACCCTCCCATCCCTTCAGTTATAATCAGATGACATGTCTTAAGTTTGACTCATTTATGTTATACATAGTTTCCAGAAACAGTTTCATTTAATTTTTTTTCCTACAGCAATTACTGTCCTAATAATCATGTTTTAAAAGGCATTATATATATTACAGATCACAGTTTAAAGCCCCAAAAGCAATTCCTTTAGGTTTAACACACAAGGAAAATCTGTATAAAATATTTTGCAAATTGTGAACCCCGAAACAAGGCTCAACGTTTCTCAAAGTCATATACAAATACAACGCTCATTCTCTAAGAGGCCATTAAAATAATTGAGATAAATTTACCAAATCTTTGTATTACTACCATAGTTAATTTATCTTATTTTGATTGAAATAATCTGTACTAAACTTTACAAACTTTACTGTTGGACAAATTCCCAGATACCACTTTAAGAAGCCTGCTGAATAACAGACACATAATAGAGGTTTCTGCATGTTGAAGATGATTGAACATCATAGGCAGATTTCTCAGCTACATCCAAAGCAAATTCTTGCAGGCGTTCGCTTAGGACGGGCACTTTGCAATTCTCTGATCTCAGATCACAATGGGGTTAATCCAAGACAGCAAAGCATTCCCACGAGCACAGCAGAAAGCAGAAAATAAGCTTTGATTCAACTCCAAGTGCAGACCTGAAAAAGAGTCTCATTTTCCAGTTGGCCTGGGCTACTAAAGCTAATTTCTCTGTAGTGCTCAAATGACAGTAAGCCAGAGTTGTTATCTTTTTTTATTCCTTTCATTGGATTAGAAAGGAAATAAAGTGAAGAAAGAAGTCATTTTTATCTTTGCTTCCCTTGTTTTCTTTTATGCTATATTCATTCTACCCACAACAAATCTTAGCAGGATTTTAAAACCCTTTATAAGGATTTTTTAAGGATATTACAAAATCCTCTTATAATGATTTTATAGATAACACTTCTGAACAATTAAATTTTCAGGGTTTTATCAACTACCACAGTCCTTAACACAGAAATCTCTAAAGAAGAAAGCAAATCTGTGATGCGGTAGAATAAAATCTAGGTTGGGAGTTGTTTTTTGGTTTTGTTTACCTCTTCCATCTCTAAAATATAACATAGTCAGGTGCTACAGCCCATACACCAGTGACTTGCCCTCAGCAGCCTGTGCAGACACATCAGCCCCAGAGGATGCTCAAATGGTTGCTGTTGCACTGCCTTCTATTCATGTTGTGAAGAACCAGGGACTCTAAGGAAGAATTCTGTGCCTATTTGAAAAGAATAATGGAAAGGCAGTTGTGAAATGCAGCCTGTAATACCTTTGCTTTAACGTTCACATCGCTACACATGTAAAGAGGATGCTCCATCATGTTTCCAGCTGCGATACCAGTCACTCAGAGTGAATAGCATCATTGCATACGTGAACATCTCGGCGTTGTCTATGTTAAAGAATGAGCACTGCTATTGCAGTGGCCCAATCCAGCAACCTACAAAGCACATCTTCATCTCCCTCTTCATTGTACTATACACACAAAGTGCAGTGCTAAAGCTTCCTTGATAAGGATGTATCCAAATTAAGAAAATGGCTGCTAAAGATGTTTCTGAAAGTGACCTCTTTCGATAGGGGAGACAAAGTTGCTTTTAACAGCAGGTTTCAGCTCCAACATGTTTTTCTTTTATGTTACAATTTGTCTTCCACTTCCTGCAAATTGTATTTATTGCACTTTTTTAAAGCTCACTTTTAAGATCCCTTGGAACTCAACTGTCTTTCTGACTCCCCATCTTCGTCTCTCACCTCTGCTGATGATTCTTCTCACAGATCAATGGGAGCCACAAGCTCCCAATGGAAAAGTTCCCTTCCAGGATTCTTCTTTGGTATGCTACCACTATACGCTCAAATAAATCCTTTCAGAATGATAAAATCACCTTTTATGATTGACCTTTATTTTGAGATCAAAATTCTGTATCACTAGTGATCTATAAGCACTTGCTCTTGTTGGTATTTACCTCTGTACCTTGCCTTATATCCTTTCGGCAAGGATGTATCCAACAGGATTTAACTCCTAGCCGAGACCTTTAGGCACTACTATAGTGAATAAACATGGTAGCATGGATCGACCAGGTCAAATACCAAGTATAGCCAACACAATTTGATGTCATTTGGATGCAGATTAATAGAACACTACCCACTTCAGTCCATTTAGACCAGTTTCATATAACTTTAAAGCCACCAAGCATGCCTAGCAAAAAATTCTGGGAACTTTTGAGAAGAGTATGATCTAGCACCATCAGCTAAAGAGAAATTTCTCTTATAATTTGTGCTCTTGCTACTTGGCAGCTGCAGCAAGGTACATGTATCATTTCCTTGAAGGAGTGCTCCTAGTGACTTCCGTGCACTTGCTTCCAAGGGAAAGGTGACAGGATTAGAAGTGCAGGCTGTCTACTATCCTCTGGGATAAAGTTGTTTTATTATTACTGGCAGACAAGGCTCAGACAGTAAAGGCATTCACTTAAGGATTCTAGTTTCTATTTCCAGCTCCATTACATCTATTTTTATTTGAATTTATTTAAAGACAACATTATCAACCCAGAAACAAAAGACAGGAAGGAGATGGAAGTCAACAATGCCTGAGGCTCCCGACAATGCGAGGAAATGGCTCGTATTTTGAAAGTTCCCCCAATTCTCTAACAGCTGATCTTGACTGAAGAATTAAACAAAGTCCAAAAAGCAAAACAAAAACATAAACAAAACCCTGTGAAGGGAAATCCTCTTGTATTCAGACACCAGGATAGTGGAAAATTTTAGCGAGAATCCAAGTTTAGAAGAATGCATTAATTTTTTTAATCTATACTAAAGCACGAATGAAACAACATGCATGACAGTAAAAAGATGTGTAAGGAAAACAAACATGTCAGTGGGCTGCTTAAAGAAGTAATTCCATTATCTGCCTCCAAGTGAAATTATATTCTTTGGTTAAAGAAAGCCTTATTTAGCTTACATTGTTACAGTGGGCACAATATAAGGATACTTTCAAAGTATGGCACTGACAGCTGAACATAGTACCTGAACACTTTATCCTCAAATATAAATATAAAGCCTCAAATATAAAGCCTCAAATCGAATCTATTGCCAAAACTTCAAAAAATCTGACATATCAGACAAATAAAAGTCCTTTAGGTTATATATGTCTACCTAAAAATTGATACATGCATATAAAAAAAAAATAGAGAGAAGTTAGGAAAACCTACCAATCAGCAATAGAGACTGCATATTGCAGTTTGTACTTGAGAACAAGCATTCGGTCTGCTGGCACTAAGGCACTACTTAGCAACCTCAAACCCTAGCCTTTGTGTTGGGGTGACACACTGACCAGACAAGATGACAGCCTGAAGTTTTTGCATAGACAAAACTCTAACTGAAGTCAAACACAGTTTTTCCTCAGTAAAAATCGAGTAAGAATTTAAACTTGGCCAAGGCTGAATATTCTAACACAGAAGTTCAAGCACAAGTCTACTAGGTTTTGTTGTTGTTTTTTGTTTGTGTGTTTCTCTCCCCCAAGCATCAGTTGCAAACAAACCAGTAAACAGGAGGGAAGATGCTCCTTTAAAAATAAACAAATTACTTGTGCTCGGGGAGATGAGCTGGAGAGAAAACAAAAACCTAGAACAGACAATTAAAAACTCTGCAGTTATACTAAACAATACTAAAATCACAAAAAATGGCAAAGCAATATTAAACTCTTCTACCTCTGTCTACAAACTGAACAGTGACAGGATCCACAGAGAAACTTTTCCTATAAAATTACTCCATATTTGTACACAGCTGCCCTGCCAGGAGCTGTATGTGCACTAGAAGGGTGATGTATCAGTCTTGGTATGGGCACAGCTGCCCTCCATACTGCAGAAACCAGCAAGAGGCATTCTGTAGCACCCTCCAACTATGAGCTAAAACATTCAGTCTTGACTGCACGAGATCATTCTTACCTGAAACTGCCTTGCTAGAGGGAGCTATTCAAACTGCAAGGCAATTCTCTGGTAATGCAGTCAATGAGAATACCAGAAGTGTCAGATAAGTGGAGGAGTTTGTAAAGTGGTCACCAACGCAATGAGGACCGGGATAAACCACTAGAGGCATTTCCCATCCAACCCTTGGCAGCACTACGTGGCTCCATTTCAGTCATTGCAGATTCACCCTGGACTAAACCTAGCAAGTAAGGGGTGAAATGGCTCTGTGTTTTCCTCTTCCCCTCCCAAACTTGCCAGCTACTCTTTATGCTTTGTTTTCTTAACCTTTCTTTTGCAAAGCAAATGGAAAGCAAAGGAGTTATTGCTGTTTTCTGTTTATTTATATATTTAAAGAGAACTTAAGCTCACTGCAAGTCATGACCAGACATGCATTTATCATCATTACATAGCATGATGTGTCGGTTCTTAATTTGGCACCCACTTAAGAGAAGGAATTTAGCTATTTTTTTATTCCACTAGCTGGTCCAAAACCAAGTGCAAGGTTGCACAATCCCTCCAATTTACTTGGGGAAGCAATAGGCAGAACCAAGATTAACAAGAGAGGATTTTTAAAAAAAATCTTTTTTTTTCCGGCTATGTGTTTATATATTAAAAAACAAGAGTTCAGCAGAGAAAAATATTGCTCTTTTGCTTTCTCAGGCAGGTTTCTTGCTCTTACAAGGGGACTCCAGACCTTGTATATTCTTCACTCTCTTCCTCCCCCAGCCCTTGATGATAGTATTTGGCAGGAATTTTTAATTAAAAAAAAAAAAATCCAGACCGCCTTTGTGCTACCCGAGCAAATCCTCTTGGGAAATGATGTTCTTTGCTCAGCAATTCCTGTTCAGCACTGAGTGCCAACACAAGGAAAACAGCTGGAATGACTTCCTTTTCTCCATTCAGGCCTATAGGCCTATGAACAAATCTTTACAAGAAACAGAGGCTGAAATCAAAGGAATCATTGACAAAAACACGATTACTTTTGTAAGACACTACTTTCAGATTTTTTTTTTAAAGTAAGTAATTCCAATCTCTCCTGATAAAACATATCAGATTAATAATCTGATCCAATTGCACCAAAGCTGTGGAAAAGCTTTGTATCAAGTAGCAACAAGATTAATTAAAAAAGCAAAGCTGACCTCTAATTAAAAAAGCAAAGCTGACCTCTTATAAAGACAGTGCAAAAGTGGCCTGTGTAATGTGATTTAGCAACACTTTTTCTAACAGTCTCAACACTCTAGCACTAACACACAGCAATAGCCATGCAAAGCAACAAATACATGTTCTACATTATCACCAGATTGTTAGTGTGCTGAAGCTTGAGCGTGAATTTTCTAGACCAATCTTGTGTCCTAATACATGTGATCCAGGTAGCAATTTGGACAGGCATCATGATTTTACCCCATTCAGTGTTTCCTCCTGATTAATCCCTAAAAATTCTTGCCTTTCATTTACAAATAACAAAATTCTCTTTTCCAACAAGTGAATACACCCAAATAAACCCTTGACGACCTAAGAAATTAAGATAATGCAAACATTATTAAATGTTTATGAGACCCTTATTTTAGGCAGTAGGGGAAAGCCTGCCAAATGGGATTGATAATTCTGTGGCTATAATCCCAACAGCTGTTGTTGAGACACATAAAGATATCGTCCAACTTAATCCAAACACCAAGAGATTTACTTTAAATCCCTTTATACTCTAGGGGAGAGCCATACTTATTACGCTACTAGCACTACCTGAATTTTAGGACATCTTATCCAGTTTCTAGATTATTTTGATAGACAGGGTTTATTCATTTGCTTGCTTTTTCCTGAGAAGTATAATTCCCTTTTATATATAGTGGATTAGTCTAACAGAAATTGGCTAACATGACTCTCAAAAAATCCTTCTGTCCGTAAAGGACGAGGAAAGCATGCAAGAACTCAGGTAGCAACATCAGTGTTTAAACACGTTTGTACCATACATATTGATGTGTTGTTTTCATGTCAGTGTAGAGAAAACCAACATTTAATCCACAGATTAAAGCCCTGATATACTGCTATTCTAAATCAGACTGCTCCTCAGGCTTTAATTTGAAAATCCGTATATTACTTATTAACTTCCTTACTTTTAAATGCAAAGCATCTGAGGTCATAGCTGAGTTCTGGAAGAGACTCAACTGTTAAATCTCTGGGGAAGTCAAGCAAGGCTGATAACTGGGTTCAAACAAGGATATATCTTTGTGGGTAATTATTTTATTTTATTTTATTTTTTTA